CACACACACACACACACACACTGCATTTGAAATGAGAAAAACATCCTTGGTCAAGTGAAAAAAAAGCAGAAGTCAGGAAGTTGAGACAGTAAGTGACGTTAACGGGCAGTTTGTCCTGCATCCCAGGTAATCTGGTCAGCGCACAAGTTATTATCACTCACTAAAATAGACCACCTTGTGTATTTTCAGCCTCACAAATCTGGTGCGGGTCTGTGAGACACAGGAGACGTCTGTCGTCCTCACTTGTCCCTGGCCTTGAACTTTCAAAAAACAAAATGGTCAGTTTATAAATAAATAAATAAATAAATAAATAAATAAATAAATAAATAAATAAATAATTTTTTTAAACATCAACGGCATAGTGTTTTGTTTGTTACATTCACTTGGCGGCTCAGATCAAATGCCCTGACATGCTGCTGTAGTTCCTGAGCCCGCTTACTTTCTTGCGACCTTATCCTCAAGTCACCTTTTCTTTCTCACGTGTGTTCATTGTTGTCAATGTCAGCCACCCATGTCCTCCCGAAAACCCCTTAAGAGCTGAAGTGTAATTCCATATAAGCCGAGCCCATGATGTGGCCGCATGCACAAAACCACACATACACTCAGTGAGGTGACCGCTACTGGTCATGTCCATTTCTACGCGGGGTGTAGCACAGACATAAATGTTAAAATGGTTAAAAGGGAAGCTGCAGTAATGTGTGCTTTGTTGTACACGATAAAGAACATAGGCACGTGAATATTGTTAAATATTCTGTCTACGTCTGTTCCTCCACTTCTGACATAGCGCCTCGATGCTATTTGCACGGTGTTTTTCATGGTTTGTTAGGATTAAGTGAGCAGACTTTCCCGAAGGACAGTCATGTGTTTGCTTTAAAGATACAAGATATAATTCTATTTGTTGTACATTTCAGTGGAAAGTAAACTTCAACTGGAAGTGTCAGTAAACAACTTGAAGCCTCTTTTTAGAACAATTGTCAGCAGATAAAAGTTGTGTCACTCTTATCCCAATGCATATTTGGATAGATGAAATCCAACTCCAATGTAATGTTATCGTTCTCCTATCCTGTCTATTTTTCATCCTGTTCTCTTTTTCGGTCAATGCTCTTGCAAATCGTGCTCTGTCTGACTGCATTTCATAATGCATAAATATCCACCGCAGTACAAATTGCAACTAGGGAAGTGTATCACAGCAAAGTCCAGCGGGTAAACAACCGAGTCAGGAAAGAATTTTGTGGCTGATGGTATAGAGACATATCGAGGGAAGAGACTAAGGGCAGTTAAACTGCAACATTCAGCAACCTCGGTCATGTAGAGACTGTGGAGTATACCACTACAGATCTGAAACAGCAAACAGGGTAAGCTAACATTCACTTGTATGTTGCGCCTTCGCGCTGGATGCTACAGCATTATATTTGAGTCTCCATTTTTTACGAATGTTGGCCTCAGTCTTAGTCAGTTTAGGCAACATGAAGTTTCTCAATTGGAGGATAACGCAGCCATGTAACAGCCACAAAGGACTTCCATGACTGAAGAAAGGTAACTTCTGTTTGCGATAGAATTCCGTTGCTTTCAAACGATGCTTGGATACTGGAAAAGAGATTCCTGCTTAGCGCTTCTTGGAATTCATTCAGTGATACTTAAGCCAGACCACAGGGCATGGCACAGTACGTTTTAAAGACAACAGATTACACCGAAGCTCGTTTTAGTGTAAAGTTGCGGAGAGCCACAGAGGACCACTTTCAGTCGTTCGTTCATCGCTGTCACAGCACAACTTGAGGCAGTGAGGAGCCGTGATGCAAAACCTGGCGCGGATCCATATAACACTGGATACAGATGACAAGACCTTAGGATCGGGTTTACACAGAGTCGCGCACATCACTCTGCATGCGTAGAGAATGAGACTCATCACAAGCCTTCCCGAAGGCAGACGCTGACCTGTTCTGATGTAAGGGAGCAGAGCAGATCAACATTAGGGAGGCGACTGTGGAGTTGATTTACCCTCCACAGTCTCCATGATGCTGTTCTCGGGCTCTTTCGTTAAGGCTGACTAAAAGTTTAAGATATGGCTTTCTGTAAGGAAAGACAATGTTACGCAGGAGGAAACTAACGGAAGTGCAGCACAGCGGAGAAAGTGGAGTATAAAACTGCAATGTCCAGATCTTAAGACACAGCAGCAGTGTAAGATAAAATTTGAGAGGCCAAACAGATACACACAGCAGGCTGCGCAGGCAAAACAAACGACTTTCCCTTTCTGCTCCTTTGTATTCCCATGGAAAAACATCCATATTCCCAGCAGCGGGAAGCAGATGGATCTGAGAGAGAAAGAGAGAGAGAGATGCATTTGGGTGCATTGCGGCCGCAGTGCAGTAAGTGGAGAGGAGGGCACATGCGCTTCAACGTGCGCGCCAGCGTCAATGACAAATCCCGTACTCATAACACACGGATTACCACAATACTGGCAGTTAGAAATTATGACATAATATACCTGCTGTTCGCATGCATTCACATTCCATGACGGGTTGAGCAAGAAACACATGTAGAAGAAAGTAAACAAGTCCATATGTAGTCACACCTGAACCCCAACTTACCTGAACAATAACCTTGGCTAACATGCCAGTTAGTTAGCATCCAGAATGGCCAACATAGCAGCTAGAAATTTAGTCAACTGAATCTCTCTTTTGTTTTTTTTTTTTAACCAAAACACAAAAACAATGAGAATGTAGGATTTAAATGCATTATAACGTCTACCAAAAACCATTTAACCTGATTTAGTTTAGTTTTATCTGACCTAACAATCAAGCTAGTAGCATCCTGATTTACCCGAAAAGCAACCACAGCAGTTTACAAGTAGATTAGCTACACGAGGCTGCAAAAACAATTGCCTTTGTATCAAAAAGAAGAACGACAATAAAGGGAAAGGGAACATTTAGAAGATGAGCTAATACAGACCAGTTTGCTTT